ATGCTTGGTTTTCGTCGATATAGCTCGTAAAATCGCAGCTTTTAATTACATTTTAAACGGAACCGGTCTCCTTCGATAATTAATGAAAGGAATTTTTCAGCTCATTTACAGATAATTTTTAATTCAAACGACTCTTCTAAAATTTTGAGAACAATATTCTTAATCTCATTTTCTTCATTGATTGTTTGTTCTATAATAATCGAAAATAAATGTTTTTTTACTTGAATGCAATAACAAGGATAATCTATTTGTTTGCTGATCAATAATCTTTTTCATAAATTTCTACCCCGAACTTTAGCATTTTGAGGCCTGCTTCTTTCCTTAAAAGGAAAAGGTTAGTCGCGTATTCGATATCGAACGTTGGGGAATGCGCTGTTAGGGGCGCATCGTCCTGAGCGGCGGCACTGTGTGGTGGCAGTGTCGTAGCATTATGTGGTGGCATTATGTGGTGGCATTGTTTGGTGGCATTGTGTGGTGGCATTGTTTGGTGGCATTGTGTGGTGGCATTGTGTGGTGGCATTGTGTGGTGGCATTGTGTGGTGGCATTGTGTGGTGGCATTGTGTGGTGGAGCATCTTCGTGTCTCGATAACTATCCTCACTAACAGAACACACCCGGCGCATATACGTTTTTGCCTAAGACAAACCATCCAAAGACAGAATGATACTTTTATTACTCAGGAACAAGCAGACACAACTGATGCAGAAGAGCTTTTCACCTTTAAGAAGCCGTCCTGTTAATGTATATTTGTAATTCATTTCTCTGCGCCATTCAGAATGGCTTCCCAAAGGATTCTAAAAATCGATATAATCAACATTAAGATGTAATTCCTGATTTGTTATTGCTTAAGCATTTCGTACTATTGTTACTTACATATGGAATATGACGCTGGCATTTCATTGCTTTAAACTTTTCTACGCCTGCAGATTTGTTTCTCGTTATCTATTCTAAAAGAAATAGACAGTAATAAAATTCATACAAAATGTCTTATGCATAAAAAGCAGATTATTTATAGTTGTATCACTGAGCTACACCCTGGAACGACCAAAACATCCTCCTCTCAAAAGCTCTCTTCGAATCGTAGATCTTAATATACTTTGTGTTTTTCTTAGAAGTAGCTGCTATTAAAGCGTAGTCCAGTCAAACGATTCAGAATGGTTTTTCTACTTGGCACGAAATTCTTGCGTCTTCACTCTCTTTAATAAATTCTTTCATTGAACAGGGCGCAACCTGGCACCACCTCTTGTGAACAGTTAATGCGTCTGCCTTAGTACACAGCATATATATAAAGAGCATCACAGCATCCCCGTCTACTGAGCCCCACAAGAATAGATATATCAAACTTCTACTGTCCCATTCCATATCTTGAATTTAATTGAAAGTTTGTATAATGCTTGATAGTTATGTCAAACCAGATTTATTGCCAAATGCCAAAAGCCAAAATGATACCCTTACTACTCAAGTGTTTTCCAATACCAGACGCATCTATTCACTTAACCAAAGAGATCCATCCACCTCTGGTAGAAAAGCCTGACTTCAGTTCATCACTTTTAAACGCTCCGAGTGCCATACAAGTTAAACACATTCATGCTCAGTAGCTGGTAAGCTCGAACTGTAATGCTAGAAGCCGAGGTAGCCCGAGTCGCTAGGCACCTTACCGCGCCAGCACCAAAATGCCATCACACCAATGCCACCACGCACAGTGCCATCAGCACAATGCCATACCACGCACATTTG